AATTTCATCCAAATCCGTTCAGTAGTTTTTACGTGATTGAGTAATAAACAAACTAACGTTCGCATTTATAATATTAGTCAGGATTTAAACTAGAATTTATTCTTCAGTAATCTTCTCAGAGATACATACCCAGTTTGCTACTGTATTAGTATAATAAAATGAGAAGCTCGATGGCGCCAGTGGTTAGCGCGTTCGGCTGCGGTCGTTGAAGTTGACCAACTTTCGCAGTGGTCGGTCATTGGATGGGTGACCAAAAATTTAGTATCTCGAGCTTCTCCGTGCTTCGGAAGGCACGTTAAGCCGTTGGTCCCGGCTGCATCTGCAGTCGTTAGCACCCACCAACCCGCATTGGCCCCGCGTGGTGGGTCATGGCCCAATCTCCCTAATCCATCCATAGGGAAGGCCTGTGCCCCAGCAGTGGAGACATTAATAGGCTGATGATGATGATAATAAAATATTATAGTCTTGGTTGGATTTAGGTTAGAGCATGTCTCTTCATTATGACTAAGATGTCCCATTAAATAAAAAATAATAGTTTGTCATGTAGGAACTCAAAAAAAATATAAAAGTAACAAGGCAAAATTAAAGGACTTCTGTTATAAATTCCGAGAGGTAGGGCATAGCGGATTTACCGCACTAATTGGAGCGCCCATCAGGGGAATTAACCTCCACTTTACAGTTCACAGTAAAATAACACTACCTTTTGTTGGTATTGTATTTCTGACAATAAGTAAGGTTCCAGGGATCCACGGGGTAAGGGATTGGGTCAGGGTAGGCAACGGTGCGAGTAATATTTTTGGTATCGCAAACATCTATATAGTTTTATATATTATATCCACACTAACCAGACAGCAGACGGGACTAGAACCCGCACCCTTCGCTATCACGGCGAATGCACTGACCTTTATGCTACCGCGGTTCTGATAGCCGTGCCAAATTTTCTCTAGCCTTAGGCTGTGCGGCGCCATCTCTTCGCATTGTAGGTAACCCACAATGTCAAATGAATACCTTTACAAGTATTAAACATTTGAAAGAAAAAATAGCATATTATATAGTTCTATTATTTATTTTTTATATCTTTATAGTTTACGGTGGCCGCTTACTTTCAAGGCCATACGCTTGTTTGCCACCCTTATAACATAAAAAAACTCATAAAAAAATCCGCGCCTTTAGCCAATTTACACCTAATTAATATTCATAATCCACTAACCTACTCTTAACTTAATAAACTAACCTAGTCATAAAATAAATCAACATCTCTTATTAATGATAATAAAATCTGTCAAATGTATTACATTAACCCTATCGTTTATATTACGATAGTAATAAAAGAGCGTTCACACTTGATCGGAGCGGTCAGCTCGCATTCGAATAGGTCGCACCTCGCGTCACTGGCACGGCACTAAATGGACGACTGATGACCGGATCAAGCCCGATCCCACTGGATTCAGTATTCATACGTATTTTAACTTCAATAACTTAGTTTGAGGAGGGACGATTTTATTTTCGCTTAGATAAATATTTGTGATGTATCTTTTATATTCATACTTTCACGTCATTTATATTTATCCCTTGCGGGATTGGCAGATAATAGAAGGTCAGTATCAGATAGATAAACATTGGTATAATCTTAAGTGCCATGACCAGACCTCAACCATACCACATTTGACACCGATTGGGCCAAATAAATGTTAACCAGATATATATTTGTTACTGAGTATTCAAAAATGCACTGTCTGTTGATAGGCACGGGATAAGAATTTGCTATGTTGCAGGTTTGCCGCTCAGGAATTAATATTTTTATATCAGTATTATTAATCCTCTTATTATTTTAGCATTAATTTAGTCAAAGTATTTACTTAAGTGAGTTCCCTAAGAGGTTATTGTTTTCAGACAACATCTTCGACTCAGCTAATGTCAAATATGACGGTATATTATGGCCAAGATTTATATTTATTTAATAAATCGTCAACATAAATCAATATTTTGATTTATATAAGCACGTTGACTACAGTAAACCATTATTTATTTCATTCAGTTGTTTGTTAGAACGTATTATGTTTGTAAAACAAATGGATAAGCTCTCCATTTATATACACAAAGTTTCTATTGAGTTAATTGAAGTCTTAATGGGTAAACTACCACTTGAATTTTCGTCACGCACATCATCATAATCACGAAATAAAAGCAGTAAGTAAAAGTGAAATGCGTCGTGACATTCGTCTAGCGCGGGGTCAGAGAGATAAGGCGGGCTAAGTCCGAGATTGATTCTACGGCTCAGGGGGATAGCCGGCGTCCGGCCGAGTGAGGACGATCCTTTACTCACGACTCACTGCGCGCTATGAGTGCCTCCGCTTTATGGGCTCTGAGGAATCTTAGACACTTACGAATTGGGATTTATTTAACACTTACGTCAATATGATCCTTCGCCTAGCAATGGCGATGTTGCCAAGTTCAATGTAATGGAAATATTAGTTCCACTTCCTATAAGGACAATAAATGTCACCTTATTGTACTTCACCACTCTACCTTATTGATTTCGATGTATTTATATTCGTAATTAATTATGTTAAGACTCTTCTCTTTTTATTTTATTTTCCCGATAACAAAAGAATGAGAGAACATAGATATTTCTGAGTAATTACGGTATTTTGTATACTGACAAATCACAAAGTCATTACACTGTGTTTTTTTCTGATAAATATTAAAGTTTAATTTTTATTACATCGCCACAATTTTTTTCGTTCATCTTTAGCATAACCCTTTACATTTTAATTCAGACCTTATCATCAAGCATCGAAGGTTTAGTTTTAGAAAGCTTGCCTGCCGCGTGGGCGCCCTGGTTTCGATTCCCAGCCGAGGAAGGACTTTTTTCATTTTCAATTTTTATAAGTCTACTAATAATAAAATAATTGAAGCGATGTACACCACTTTTAAAGATTACATGCATTGTGGTTTTATAAAACCACACCATTTTAATGTAAGTTCATCTACATTGAGTGGAGTCCTATAACTTATATAAAAAAACGGGTGAGCTTATGACTCCACGACTGAAGTAAAACTATTTAAGCTCCAATCTTGTTGATAAAAAAAACACCAATACGCGCTGGGTCCGTTATCACTCTAAAATCCGCACTGGGTCCATTATCACCCACCAATCCGCGCTGAGTCCGTTATCACCCACTAATCCGCACTGGGTCCGTTATCATTCACCAATCTGCACTGGATCCGTTATCATCCACCAATCCGCGCTGACTCAGTTATCACCCACCAATACACACTGGGCCCATAGTCACCCACCAATCCGCGCTGAGTCCGTTATCACCCACCAATCCGCGCTGGGCCCATAGTCACCCACCAATCCGCGCTGGGTCCGTTATCACCCATCAAGCACTAGATTCATGTATTTTGTGACAGGTATTGTTTGTTCTTTGTTTATCGATGAGTCACCGATGACACTAATCGTAACGCGAAATCGTTACACATTCGCCAGTTTACCCCCAAGTCAAGCGTGTCTAAAGTATTTTCACTTCAAAAACGGGGTCTTTAAAACTAATTGTTATAAAGGTACCTATTAACAGCAACATAGCATATAAACATTTCTCTACACAAAGACTGTGTAAGTAGGTACTTAGCTTCATGAGTTTCATGACTACTACTTCCTTGTGCTGTGGAAACCAGAAACGCTAACAATAGACATGTACAGCTTTTCCCAAGCTCAAAGCTGAACTGTTTAATTACTGCGTTTGGTGCCTAAGGTTTGGACAAGTACCTCCGTTATCATGTCTCCTTATCATATCTATTTGTATCGTTAAAAAAATTAGAGCCAAAACTTTAAAAATAAAGTGAAATATCTGAGTGTAGCAATTACATAACAAATAAATTAACTACCTTATTAGAGCAAGTTTTCTTGAAATGTAACCCACGAACGGATGTTTTTGGTAGGATATATTTTGACTGAATAAGTGCTTAGTATCTATTGCATATGGACCACGTTGACAAATTAATATTTTGTCTTATCGGGTTGTATTAGTAATTTTATCGTATTGCATAAGTAATCTTAATAGTGATAAGTCAAATTGCTACCATGCTTTTCGTGAGTCCCGATATGCCTATGTTGTCTTTAATTTTTGCATTTTCCCCTACTCGTTGCATAGCGAATGAATAAAGGAATTTATTCTTTGTCCAACATTCCGTAACGTGGTCGTAATTTAGCGAGGTGCGAAGTTCCGTCACATCGGGGGGTACATACCGCAGTAGTAAGTGCAATACTGGCCAACCACCTAAGGTGTGAGCCTCGAATACTCGGTGTTGCCAACGGCAATAAATCGCGTAGACTGATGGCGGTTTTTGTTTCGCGACATTTTTTCCCGCGCTAGCGGCGCATATATCACCGGCCGCGGTGACTTATGCGTCTGTCCCACAGCTCGCGCACAAAATACCCGACCACTTTTGTGGATACCTACCTTCCAGCCACAATCAATCTTTGTACGTCCTTACGAAACTCAAAAAATAAATTCGCAATCTTTTTCGAATTAAATCTTCTAAGGGGACAGATCTAAAGATCATCCAACTGTAAATGTATCAACATAAAAAGACCAATCGCAAACATTAATTGTGTACCGACAATGAGCCACCCTTGAAATCCGTCCGGAGTTCAACCGCATATAAAACCAGCTTATTAACTAAGCTCTATCGTCGGGGAGCGTTTTATAGGCACTTTTATCCGATGTCCATTCTTCTGAAATGCGATTAAAATTGAATAGGTCCATATGTCCCCGGCAGTGGCCCGTTGCGTTACAATCACACGGGCGGCTGCATTTTCAATTTGCCACGAGATAAGCATGACTTTTGGATGACTTTTTCTACGGAACGACAGAATTGATCCGGTAACTTATGGCGAAATGTACGCGAGGCGACGTTATGGGACAGCCAATTGATTTACTTGCTAACAACAGCGTAAAGGTCACTCGAGGAAGAATAGGAGAACTAAAACGTCATTTTAATATCAATATTGATAATTTATTCACAATTTCATTTAAAATACACAATTTCACAATGTTTTTGTTTTAAAAACTAAAAATTTTAGGTACGGGATATCGTTATAGGCTTTTTGTATTGATCGCTAATTTACATTTTTATTCTGATAGTCTTATAATGATTCCTTCATTTATTTTCTACAGCGCTCATTTACATGTCATATGTACATTTTGGAGTCCCGAAATCTTGTTTGCGAATATTGTAACAGCTTAATTTAGAAAAACTTATGCTTGTTATATTATTACCGTATTCACAAACAACATCTCTCAATATAATTTATGGCCACAAGTATCTTAAATTTTAAAACAGTGAATAATACAATTTTGCGAATATTTTTCTGTGAAAAAAACATGTTAGGCAAGTGCTAAAATAATACTCCAATTAAGTGACCTGTTTTTATATTTTTGCGGGAATACACCAAGATTTACAAACATAAATAAAAGTGATTTATATAATTATGTAATACTTTCGATATCCACATTTATCAGTTCTGAATAATGTAACTATTTAAAACAGCGTTTTAATTTATTTACAATTCGCATGATTTTACATCTATTACATAAATTACTATTGCATTTCATTCAATACCGCCTACACAAATAAAATGTACAAAAGAAAAACATATATCTGGAAATAATATCTCTGAACACATCACAATTCCTATAGCGAACTGAACCGTTCAAATTAAATAATTAATTTAAGAAAAAAGTGAAAAATTTATACAGGAACGGAATAATATAACTTAATAAGATATGTACAAAATACACAAATGGTTTTTGAACTATACTTAAGTATCGTATTACCGACATAATAACTATATTATAATACTGTACAATTTCGCTAGTTACTTCATCGTGTAAAACACTCTTAATCGTAAAAGACTTATAGGAAACTGATCACGGCATATCAAAGTCTTGGGAAGTTTTGAATGGGACGAGGTGCATCTTTGAGATATGTTCAATCAAATATCTGATAAAAAAAATTAAAAAACATCAATTCTGTTTTACAGTCTTACGATTATGTGATGTGTCAAAGTAATATCGTGATAAGTTTCGATAAACATCGTTTTCTCTTAGAGTAGGTACGACAAGACACAATAGTCTGGGCATGGAAACGGTGTCTGTTTTTGGCGCGAAAAGAGGCCACCACAGATATTTCCAAACTTCGAAAAATTCAAAGGTTAAAACTTGTTAGTGAGTAAGAAAACGTTTTCTTTTTTCTCGATAGTTTTCCAGCCAACCGTTTTCATTGCCAGATCGCACCCTGTTCTTAAAAACAATTTAAATATAACTGGGATCACAGCATCCATTTTCCGCGTTGCCTCTCGTTTTCTGAGGGTAATTGTAACCTGCCCTGTTGCGGACGATGTAATGGTGTATATTCAACGACGTCTAATGTAGATCATACATATAAGGACTTGTCTTGTTTGGTTGACTTATCACGTATACTCACTCCTCCAACCGGTCTGCAAATAAAACGATTCAGTTAAGTACATTACTAATATCATTATTATTTATCAATACGGACGTTAAAAATTTACGGCCGACGATGAATTTTCAACGTAGGTACATATAATAGAATTAATCATTGAGGAAGCCTATGTCCAGCAGAGGACTTCATAATGATTACAATGATGATGATGAACATAAACTCACCATAGAATTCAGTTGCGCGAGGTGATGGTGGTGATAGGGGTTGTGCGAGGTCGGGGGCGGCGCGAAGCCCTGGTGCGGGGCGCCGTACCAGTGCGACATGTGCGCGGCTGCCGGGTGCACCAGTCCCACTTGATGTTGACCTGCGGGGAAGGAAATTGGTAACAATATTAAAGAGTTCGATGTTTCATAACAATTTTGACATAAAACCTAATATCGAACTGTCACAGAAACGTCTCTCAATGTTTGATGGAGGATGGATTCTAGAGGAGAGGATCTAGATCGAACTACAATACCCCTGCCATTGATTGAATCTTAGGGATATTTTTACTAAGATAAAATGATTAGCGCGCTGGGCTGGATGGGTGACCAAATATTTACTGTCTTGTGCTGCGGAAGGTATGCTAAGCCGTTTGGTCCCGGCTGCATCTGCAGTCGTTAGTTCCCACTAATCCTCAATGGGCTCCCGTGGTGGATCATAGCGAGGGTCTATGTCCCAGCAGTGGAGACTCATTAACAAGCTGATGTTGATGGTTGTAACATCAGCTTATCCGATATGTGTGGTTTCCCGAGGAATCTATCTTGATCCAATGGCACTGGCAACTTAAAATATTCCTAAGAATCAATCCAGATTCTTAGGAATATTTTAAGTTGGATAACAGCAAAGAATTAGACTACTTTTATACTGACTTTTATCCGTTCTGTTCTATCATTACAAATATGTATGTGAACTAAGATTATTTGTAAAAGTGATCCAACATTTTTTCCACTGTTATCTGAAGAGACAAAATTTTTCACAAATCAGCTGTTTGTAGACGGTTAGGATTTTAAAGTATTGCTCACACACAACCTAATCCTCCTTTATGTCCGAAATATGTTAATTTTGGGCATGAGTATTCTGTTTGGTAGGAAATCTTTGTGGTAGGTATACAACCTCCCAGATAAGCGTTTGAATTCCTTATTCCGTTTCTTAAATCCCTTTTTTAAATATAACACTCTGTTTTGGATACTCACCGAAGTCCATTGCCGATGGGAAGGCGGAGCCCCCGAAGCCCTTGGTGGCGTCTCCTAAAGGTTTGATCATGTCTCCCATGACGCCTCCTAAAGCGAGCGCACACGCACCCCCGCCACCCATGCCCATCCCGCCTTTCTTTTTCTTGCTTTTACTGCTGAGCTTGCGATTTCTCGTCTGGATGCCTTCCTTCTTCATCGTCAACGGCCGGTTTACCTGTTGACAAATTTTGAATTAAATATTCACCTTACAGAAAATCAAAACCTTACAGAAGATCGCAGTGAAAATAAACGTGAACCTTTTGGAGGTGTTGCGGTTTTGTAGCTGAGTAAAGTTCCAGGGCTCTACGTCGGAGGGTATCGGGCTTGACCCGACAAGTAGGCAACATGCAAGATATAAGAGTATCTCATGCACGTTGTCTACTTGTCGGGTCTGCTAACGCTGGCGTCTATAGACGCGATAGATGGAAATCGGTCATCATAGCCTATAGGATTTCCAAAACAATATGCTGGATTACGATCCCCTTAATATAAATAAATTCTGTAATCTCCTGAAGACTCCTGGAGCCTGGATTTATAAAAAAAAATGGTTGCCTGTAAAGTCGGTTTTACGGGCGAAGATTTTACGTGACAACGTCTTTTTCTCGGTAGAATATTTATTGATATGAATATAATTAAATTGCACAATAGGAACAAGGAATTGAATGAAAATAAGAATTGCACAAATTTTAACTATAGAAATATATTTTGTTTACTAAAACATTGTACATGTAAACTTAAACTTAACACGAGAGACTCATCGTAACGTTACCGAGCGTTACACTTTTTCATAAGTGACTCCCAGCCGCAACCTAATTTAAGACGTTGTCACGTCAAAAAGCTAATAGAATCAAATTGGAATCAACCCAGAGCTACTTCTACTATTTTCTGGCAACTAGTATTTGCTATTCTTATTGTCCACCTATCTAATTAAAACTCCACAGTATTCCATACACTCTGATTATAATTGTAATTGTACCATGTTGAATCACGAAGCTTTTGCCATTCGTCGTATCCCATTTTATTGCTCTGACATGACATTTAGCGGTATGAAAAAAGCGAGCGCGGCACCAATTTAGAATGCTAACTAGCGAGAATAAAGGCTGCCGAGCCATAAACTTGGACGACAATAGACGTGTGCGAATATTTAGCTGTTTGGTGACCGGTGCCGGCGTGGATGCGACGCGCATAGCATTTTTAATCATTGCAACTATGCAGTTTCGGCTCGAGTTCGGTGGGAATCAGAGGTGACGTAGGAACTCCGCGGGGTTAAGGCCCTTGCCCGAGCTTTGTGATAGCGTACCGTCATTCGATTCTCGAAAAACAATGACACAGTGAATGAGCAGTTTTTTGTAACTGTTTGTCTATAATATGAATTGTAACATGACCAATGACGGATGGGGATAACCCGTAGTAATGTTTGAGAACGTTTAAAGGAAATTGTTGTCTAAAAGGTAACCTTATCGGTTATTCCTTCAAATACATTTCTATTGATAAACAATGTACACAATAATTTGTATTTACACTCGACAACATTATTTCTATCAACCATCTTACAATAGGGTTTAAATAAATCGGCGCGATTTTTACTTGATCTGATTAGTTTGATACGAATGTGCTACGGCCGTCATTAATATTATAAGTTTTATGACGCTCAGAATGAGTTTTACGTGAAAATAAATGTAACAAACACAAGATGCGAAGTCACCGCCGAACGAATCACGTAAAAGACGACAGTTTGACCCTGATATACCGCAATAAAGAGCTGCTCAACTTTGTTGACACAAATTAAGTGCCAACATAAAAACAACAAATTACTGATGCACACAGCGAGCGGCGCGGCGGCGGCGGCCGGCGCCTCGGCGGCATTTTCGCAAATTTCTCAGCGAAATTCGCGGGTCAAACACATCTCGGTTGCAACATTTCCGAGAACATGCGTCACTACGGACGGACGGACAGACAGACAATGAGTTATTCATCGCCTTCCAGGGAATTGCGGCATGTGGCCTGTACGCGCTATTGCTCGCATCTACCGCGCTGGCTGCGAGCTTCTTTTTGGAGATTCGCAATTGAGATTTAGATTCAGACAAGCGGAGAGCAATGGGACTTTCTAATTAATCACGCTGCTGTAAATAAAACTCCTTAAACGAGCATTTGAATGCGGGTCACTTTTTACCCGGCTGCGCAATGCAAGAGCGCGAAGCGCGACGCGCAGACAGGGTTATGTGTTTAACAGTCTATATATGTATGTTTGTTCCTTTGTGGCACACTAGAGACCAAACGCCTGGACCGATTTTGATGATTCATACATCAATCGATTCGTCTCAATCATGGGAGTGCTACTAAAGATATGATAGTAATCAAAATTCAATATGGGCAAAATTAGGCGCCATATTGTGACGAAGTAAAAAAAATAAGTTGACAAAATATGTCGAGTGGGGTATCACTGTCTAGATAATCAAAAATCATATTTAGGTTCCTAACACCATTTTTCATTTTATATGATTGTTTAGGATCTACAACGCTTTTAAGTTGTATATTAACCACTTACGTTTTTAATTTCAATCTTACGTTTGTATCCATGGATCTTTGTTACTCTTTCACCTAAAAAATACTGAATGGATTTTAATGAAACTTAACAGTTATATAGCTCATATATGATAATTACATATATATAATAATTTATGTAGTTATTGATTGAATTGGCCAATATATAACAATAAGGTGTCACGTGAGACGGAATAAATCTCTCATTTGCGAGCCATTTTGGCCTGCACTGCAAAAACAATAAAAGTTACATGAATGTAATGTAGAGTGAAAATGTATCTCTTAAATAGTTCTAAAAAAAAAAGTCCGTGACACCATATCTCTATTTTTAATGTGTAAGTAAGTCATTACCACTAAAATAGTGAATCAAAACTAAAGTATTATTTGATATCTATTTCCAAAATGCACATTTTGTATTAACAAATCATTTTTTATCAAAACAAATACTTTTATCGCTTTTGATATTTAAAGACGATAAACTTTGCTTTTTACACTATGTCATTTCGACAAATATTTAAAAAGTTACAACGATCTCAAAGTGATAGCGCGGTGTACTATGTAAAAGAAAAAAAAAGGGGGTATTCGCAGTATCTGATCCTAAACGAAGTACTAACAATAAAACTGTGATACAGTTCCTTCTTATTAAATGATGAAAAATATATTATCATAATAGGTATTTATGTTTATTGAATTTTAATGAAAAACTCAGAATTTTACTGTTTTTCATTTTTTTAACGATATTACTTAATGTTACAAAAAAGGTTTACTTAATATATTTAAGGTTTATGTAATGACAAATAACCCATTTTTCGCTAGTAAGTACATACTTATTGGTATCCCTGTATTTATTAATCAGCTCGCGATAATATTGGTTTTGTAATAATTCTGCAAAATTCAAAGTAAATAATGTAGATTTTTATAGGTAAATCACCCCTTTCATCACCCTACGCCTATAAGTATTGCGATGTTGTAGCTAAGAACCAAGTTCCCATCTACTTCTATATGGGAATTCATTATATTCGATTTAGCTATTAGGGCACGGAAGCGCAACAAACAAACTCACTTTCGCATCTATAATATTATATTATACTTACTAGTGATCCACCCGGGCATTGTACGGGCGAAATTTATTTATCGGGATAAAATATAGCCTATGTTACTCGGACAAAATGTATTTAAATAAAGAAAAATGTTATAATAAATAATGTAGCTACCTTATGATTAATTAATATTTGAAACCGGTTCAGTAGTTTGAAAGATTATTTGTTACAAACATACAAATCTTGCCTCTTTATAATATTAGTATAGATAGTTAGGATAAGATAAGTATTTAATTGATGAAAAAGATTTAAAAATAAAGTAAGTAATAGGTTTATTTGATTATATTTGTAAAAGTTACTTAGCATTTGTGCTTAACAGTGATACGTTATTCGGTATTTTTTTAAACAAAAAAAAATTTGGGAAATAATTGCCATGATTGCACTACTGGGAGTACTCTTCATTCAAGCTTTACACTACCAATAAAAAAGGGTCGAACACAAAGTCTTTGACCTGTTAAAAGTGAACGCTTTAAAAGAAAACTACAAAGAGAACTATAAATTGATAATAAATGAGATTGCAATGGTGCTCTAACTTACGTTATGAAAATTTTATTATGCGCCTTTAGTTTAATCGAATATTATAAATTTTGCTTTGGTGATTGCATAATTATTTAATTTAGTGATCTAAGGCAGTTGCCTCCATTGTCCAAAACAACAGACGGGAATTACTGCTTTCTTCAACCTGAGACATAAACGTCTTTGATTGGTATTGTGTATAGGGTGATTAAAAACATTTGAAGTTAACTTCTGGCATCTACATATTGGGTTTCTGTGAATTATGTAGGTATATCAAATTATGAGACTAGGGACTGTCACTGAATTTGTGTATATCACAATCTTAGACGTACGGCATTGACATGACAATGCAGCCACTGCCAATTTTAAATAGTCGACGAATAAAAGTAAATGAATTTTATATTTACTGCTAAACTATTAAAAAAAAAAACATAAACAAAAGATGACTTTTTGAGTAAGTGCTAGTTTACTATAAAATTTACATACATTAGCGATATTTATGTAACGACTTGATTTAACTTCACACATTTTTGCGAAAATTGAGGCCCATCTGTAGCCTTGACCCTAGCTCTTTATATGTCTTAATAAATCAATCTTTTAGACCGACGCAAGGTACTTAATAATTCCCGCGATATTAATTCCCTTACTAAAGTAACAAGACTACGGTATATACCGTCTTAAAATACTAACTAACTAAAAAGTGTGAAATAAAAAAGGTAAATTTAAAAAATCAAAAAACCCGACTGCTTAATTATTATACTTCAAATAAAAACAGAAAAGAACAAAACAAGTCCAGTAGTCTATAATTCTGTTAATAAAGAACAAAGCTACTTTAACAGTCGGGACCCACTGTTGAAAAATATTATTGAATATCTAATGGGTCCCGACTGTTAAAGTAGCTTTGTTCCTTATTAACAGAATTATAGACTACTGGACTTGTTTTGTTCTTTTCTGTTTTTATTTGAAGTATAATAATTAAGCAGTCGGGTTTTTTGATTTTTTAAATTTACCTTTT